TGCAACTGTGTTTAAAAAAGCAATATGATTCAAGGGAGAGAAGCTTAAGCCCGAGTAAAAACAGTCCTGATATTTTCACTGACACAGGCTGTGTGTTTTTTTTTCCTATAATAATTATTTCCCCCTTTTTTTCGACATAGCAGCGCATCACTGTTCAATTTTCACCTCCATCTGTGTGATTATTAATCAGATCACACATCAATTGCCAGAACCAGCAAAGAAATTCAGCCTGTAATAAAACTGTCATGTGCTGTGGTATAAAGACAGATGTTGCCAGTTGTGTGATAACATAATTAAACTGTTCTGTGAGGGATTCCATAAAATTATTCAAATTGGAGGAGCACTATCATTTTACCAATAAAGCAATTTAGGGCAATATGCAGTGTCATAACACTGATGTTATCCTCTCTGCCAGATTTTCCAATAAGTTGGAGCCTCTGCTTGGCCTCCTGTGACAATATGAACAGTATACATGAAGATACCTGAGAGCTCCTAGAGATGGAGGAGTATGCACAACAACGCTGCATGGGCTCACATTCTTTTAGTGCGAAAAACTGTACGTGTGCATGAGTTAGATGACACATAGCTCAGGAAGCAAGCTCACATTTAGTAGGATAATGCACTACAGCTATTGGTCAAAAAGCACCCAGGGGCAAAGGAGCCTTTATCACACATGTCAAATATTCGGAAACTGCGCTGCACAGATATATAATTCTGCAGTAGAGCAAATACAGAGATATAGAGATAAAGCTGCGTTGTTCTTTTGAAACACCATATTTCAATTCAGGCATAGCTCTCTCTTCCTCTTGGCCTCAGCTCTGCGGCAGAGTACATGCGATTAGCAGAGATCTGAGGCAGCGGATGCTCTCTGACCTCCTCTCTGACCTGACGCTGTTAGCTCCCTCAGTCTGACCATTAGCCTGTAATGTGGACCGGACACCAGAAACCAGCAGGACCTGCACTGGCAGACCTGGCCTCTGAGCCAGGTATTTCTGTCTGAGCATGTATGTGTTTATATGTGTACTGTATATACTCTGTGTCTCAGGGTGTGTACCTGTCTGAGTGCTGTGATAGCGAGGCTTATCATCTAGCACCCGAAGCTCAGGCAGAACGGGGCTTGGCAACGGTGGCTGAGACTTGCATTTCCACCTTCTCAAGCTTCCACAAGGGACCATATAAGCCTTGCATTATGCAAACAGGAAACCTGTGCCCGCTCAGCTCTTTCTGCGGCCACTGTTATGCGTGTCATTCTCTCCTCTCTGCACACGCAAACATGACGGACACCTCAACCACGCAGGAAGGGAGAAAGAAGAAAAATAATTGGCTGGGTTTATCTGGCGATATGTAACAAAGCTTTAAAGGAACTTGTTTTACAAAGCAGGCTGGATGGATGTGTATGCAATAAAAGAAAAGCAATTATTCATCCCTGTTTTATTTCTTTTTCTTTTGAGATATTGTTGGGGTATATTTGTACAGTATCGCTGAGAGGAAGAGACAGGCTGATATTTTAGAAATCGCTCTAACTTGGTTAAACTTCTAAAAGACAGGATATTAATATTTAATGCTCTACAGTTGTATCAGTTGAACCAAATTTCAAGTGAAGGAATCACTTGCACGGTTAAACATACAAGATGTTATAAATGCCTTTGCTAAAATTGACCATATATCACAGAAAACATGTGTAGGGAGCTGAATGTCCTGAAGACAGCAGCTCCAAAGCTAATACAAAGTCCCTAACATCATTACTGTCACTGCGTGTATATTAGACTGCAGCTACCACAGCACAACTTCCTGTTGCAAAATCATTTAAATCACAAAAGAGGTTATTGCAAAACACTCCTCTTTCATACTATTGTTTTTGTTGTTTCTTTCACTCAGTATCACTCAGTATCTTCACTTCCTCATGAGGCTAACGTTAAAACCACAACTTCTGCAACACAAACAAAAAGTATAACACAACAAAAACATTCATGTTCTGGGGCAACACACGTAGTGAAACAAATATGATATTCATGAGCTTAGTAAAAGAGACACTCATATATTATATTGACTGCAAACAGGTGTGCACAGCCTGAAAAAGCTACGAGATACACGACAAACATGTATAAGTGCATTCAATCTCTAACCAATACAACACCACACATATCACTTTGAGTTCCTCAAAAAGTACGAAATTTCCACTGCGTCGTAGAGGAAAAAAAGAGACAGACAGCACCTCCTTTTCATCCTTACTTCTTAACAAACAGTGTTTGACTTACTAATAGAGATGCTTAAATCAAGCTTATGGTCCACTTCCCCCAAATCTGACTAGTCCACAAGATGAATTCCCCTGTCAGAATCAAGATGATCAAACAGATTACAATTATTTCATCCCCCATCTTTATTAATGAGGACTGTCTTTCATAGTTATGTTCCCTAATAAGAATAAATGATATGCCACTGCCAGGTTTGTTGTTCCTGCTCACTCAGGGGACTCTCAGACATTTGCACTTTGAGTCAGAGAAGATTTTAGATTGATTTTTGCATCACCTAAAGGGGTAATAGCATCTTGGATGTTGTGGAGAACAAAGGATGCGGAAAAAAAAGAAAGAAAAAACCCTCAGTGTGTCAGTTAGAGGCATATTAGCGCACGCCGCAAATAAAACTTAAAAGAAAGACTGTGAAATGCCACAAAAGTAAAAAGTTATCAAGTAATTGAGCGAAGATCGTAATGCCCTGGGGACAATTAACATGGTTCATGGTGCATGAGTGAAAATCCTGGGTTAGTCTAATGGGAGAATAAAAAGACTGCCTGCCTGCCTTCCCAGTAACACTACCCTGGTAAGTAGCCTATCAAAGCCCAGTGTCAGGCGCTGAGAGTGAGACATCTCGTCCTTCGTCCCCATCCATGCGCCATTTATCACACACAACAATTAATACGCCTCCCTCTGTTTCAACACCAACCGCAGGCCACAGGAATTAACCACTGGATTTGTTCAAAAGGCATAAAGCGAAAAGCGCCTGCTATTTACCACGTAGAAAGCAGAGGGCAGAAAATGCAACTGTAATACATTGAACAGAGAGGGAGGGAGGGAGCTGCTCGTTTTTCCTCCCTTTAAATGCCAGGGCAGATCCTGGAGAGTAATAGTTCTTTCTGGATGACTAGAAAACAGGGAGCATGCTTGGACGGCTGGCTCTATTCTAGCGGGGAGGCTTTATTTCCATCCCTTCTTGGTGTCAAGTGCACATCCATGACACTTTTCTCTCCCTCTCTCCCCCTCTCTCTCCCCGGCGTCAATTCATCAAAGTTGTAACCCTGTTGTCTTTGCAGAGCGAATCAGAATGTGCCCCTGGCAAAGAATGAAGGAAAAGTCAACAGGAATTAAGTTTCAGTGCAACTGTTTACTCAACTGTGGCCTGCAGTTATTGAAATTTTATCCATGGTTTTGTGTGACTACTGCAGTAATGAATTCAGTATGGCTGTGATTTTCTCACTGACGACATGCTCATTTTGAGCTGGAAAAAAAGACAGGCGGGAGGTGGGGTCTGGGACTGGGGTCTGGAGCCGGGGTAGTGGGGATGAAGAGCAGATCTGGTAAATCCTAAAAACGCTGAGACTGAGGAGCAGGACACACACTGACACACCTTCTCTGCTTACTGATCAGCTTACAATTCTTCACTGGTATTTATTCCCATACTGTCCCACTTAATACCCTGAAAAATGCAATTAACAGAGGCATCCTGTTGCAAAGCACACACCATGACAATGACTTTAAAAATATTCGGCCTGTATTGTATATTTGCTCCTCTACCAATTGTCCATACATCTCTCTACTCTACAATTAAATAAAGCTTGGGTTAAAGGGGGAAATAATTAAAATGTATGACTAATCACAATGTAAAGGCAATCTTATGAGGTCATATTACTATTCAAGTGATATATAAGTAGGGCTGCGCAATACACTTGAAATTAATGATTTTTCTTACCACGATAAAATGTATGTGTACAACTGGTTATCACTGTACTGACCTCAATATTACGTCAAGTGAGATGTCAAGCAATGACTTTTCAGAATGCTAAGCTATTTACAAGAAATGTTTCATACTTTGTGTTGTCAGAATGAGCAATGAGTGTATTTGCTGGTTATCATCACTTCTGACAACAAAACTTTGTATCACTGCGTTACAATCTCATATCATCATAACGTTATTCTGCTGAAAGATGATAAATGATAATACTGAATTATTGTTCAGCCCTATATATGTAACAGCGCTATGTCTCCCACGTTCCACGCTGCAGTGTTGTTGCCCTCCCTGTGCAAACACTGATGGATGTGCTGTGACAACAGACAGCGGCGCGGAGCCTGTGCATCATCGCCAAACAGCTCCTGACAACAACCCTGGCCGTCCTGTCGGATAGACCGAGATAGCAGAAGACACACTGATCTTTTCAATGTTGTTTCCTTAAACGCGCTGTCGTGTGCCACACATAACGCTGACACCAACAGAAAGAGCTTGTCTGTTTGCCTCAAGTCTGAGATGGTGAAAATGTTTCAGGCCCCATCAACGACAACGCTGGGCACGCGTCTCCGCACCTCATTGGTTGACGCGGCGGTGTGCGGCATTAGTTGTGAGTGTGAGGTGTGTTTACAATGAGCCAGGGGAAAATGCTGTCATCCCATTGGACGTCATGGTTTCTTAACTGTCTACAAAATCCTGTGGCACCTACATACTTAAAATATGTCAGAACAGCGTGATAAATATTTGACCAAAATGCAGATGCTGCATGCTACGATAAACACACTCACAACCAAACACAATCACACCGAGAGAGCACTTCCCCTTCTTTAAATATTCAAAACGGGCCTCAATATACATAAATAATAATAATAATGTGTTTATGTACTAGATGTACTTTGAGGTGGAATGAAATATTAAGTGGCACTTTAAGAGAGGGGTCGGGCCTGCTGTTGACATGGCTTCATAAAGTGAAGGCAGGTGTGAAAGGAGGACTGGTGTACCTGGTGCTGCTGGAGATGCAGGAGGTCAGCTGCAGTCACCTCCACTGACGGCGTGGCACTCTTGGGTCGGCCCTCCCTGGACGCGCCCTCCACGCTCGCTCCTCCATTTTGATTGGCTGGTCCGTTGCTTGTCGCCTCCGTCCCAGATTCTTGCATCATGACTTAAAGACCTGAAAGGGAGAAAACAGGGACAGAGACGGAGAGAAACAGCTGTTAAAACACACAGCAATGAGGTCGCATTTTAACTCTGGGCCAAACTATAAACATCTGTCATATCCTTCCCACACAATTTCACTTTTATTGCAGGTTTCCCTGTTGGTTTGTGCTTCCCCATGTCTTGTTTGTTTGCTTGCAGCATATGCAATGAGGCAAACGCACACACACACGCTCCCACAGGCTGCTTCTCCGCAGAATAATGAACTGCTCCTTTGTTTTGTCTTTTCCGGTGCAGATCCTATGACAAGTCCATACTGGGCTGAGAAAACGGAGAGGGACTCAGGTTTTGTTTGTGTTCCCCATTATGGGGCATATGCAGGGGTGAGGTGGAGGGGTTGGGGTCCAGCACGCATCGAAGAGGAACCCAACCTGAGTTGAGTGAGAGGAGAGGAGCCCAAGAAAACACTGGACCTCCAAAACAAAACACTTTCTATGGAAATGGATATATTTACTTGCATGGCTCCCAGAAGAACCACGGCAGAATGGCTTTTTAATGGGAAACAGGGCGACTGTGTGAGGCCTGCCAAAGGATCTCCATGAGAAACATCCAATCTGAGGCCGAGTGAAAACAGTCAAATCCTTCAGGGGTACTCAATTAACACCAAGATGCAGGTCTGAATATAATTAAACCCCTTTGAGTTGTTGTAAAAAATGTTGTCTTTCATAACTAGATCTAACTCTTAAGGATAACACACAAACACTGGCAGTGATTGCATGATTTCTTGCTTTATGTTAAGATATGACAGCAGTAATCAGTCTTAAATGTGAATACACAGCTATTTGCTTACATTTTACATCCTCTGGTCTGCTTTTGGATACACAAAAGCCAGACAGACATGCCACCCCCCTACCCCCACTCCATCCCCTCCCCTCTTGTCTCTCTGGGGATGAGTGCCAGTGACACTGGTGCATATCTGTGCCTGTATTCCTCAAATCAGTGGAATGATTTACAGCTATTGTGCGTTGGTCACAGGCCTCAGTGGCGCAACGCGTCTAGCCTCCCAATTCCAGGGCGGTTAATGAAGCTGACCAAGTCAGGCAGAAGCGAATTAACTTGGCTGATTAATTATTTATATGAAGCAGAATAAATGCCTTTAAAACACTGGCCCTCATCATGAAAGAAGGTGAAAATGGAACTAAATGCAGATTTATGGTGTTGCATTTAAGGCGTGTAATAGGAGGGCCAATGCAGATTAATATGTGCTCAACTACACAGGCACAGTGTCTCCAGAGATCCAGATCTAAACAAGATGCAGACACACACCCAGACACCACGGGGACACACACTCAGGCTGACAGATAGGAAATTGAGGTTGACAACTTGTCACATAAGAATATTTACAGAGCATAGGTGAGATAATAATCTAGACATGGGATTATTAAAAAATAAACAGCACTGTAAGCAGCACTGCTCTTTCAAATCATGGTTCTCAGGGGTAGTCTCCGAGCTCTGTGTAATCAGTAGCGGTTGTGGGCTACGGTGAGTTAAAACAGTACCAGAGCAAAAAATCAAACCCCAAAAGTTCACTATGGTTTACATCTCCTCTCCTGTAGAAGCCCTCCTTGCAAGAAGCATATCCGAGTGAGTCATCTGACACTGTGGCCTGTGCCGGTTCAGTTGTGTGTCACAACGCCCCCACACTCAGGGGCCTGTCTGAGCAGCTTGGACCCGGCCTACAGGCCCCGTTCTCTGGGCTGGGGCTAGAGCCGGCCCCCCTCCTCTCCCTCCAGACAGATGTTGACCCGGCTCACCCCTCCAGTCTGGCACGGCCTCCCTCCATAATGGGATTTTCTAAACAAGGAGTGAGCAAGAGGAATACTGTGGGATGGGATGCAGCCAGCCACAACTCCATCTACAGGCCCTTGCTCGCACCAACTCCCCTTCTGAGACACCAATTAGAAACACACATTCTCGGGCGAAATTAAATGCCATTTGAAATAAACCATGGGCTGACGTTATTCGCCCCCACTTATTTTTCAAATAAAAGACATTTTTCCACATGCAGAAAAAAAGAAGGGCCTTGCTTTCTTTTTTTCCAAAGCTACATAAAAGGGGGGAAAGTAATGGCTATTATACATGCACTGTCATTCCATGCAAAATTTTCATAATTATAACGGAAAGGCGTAAATTTCCAAATGCATGGCATCTCCAAAAGTAATCAAGAGAATGAGCCGCGGGGCTATTTTAATGTATGCAAAACTAGTGACCCACAATAAAGGAGAGAAAGGCTACAATGAATGCAAAGTAATGCGCGCATGCTTGGAAGCGGCACTGATGAGGGGATGGCTAAAATTAACACCCAATTAATTTTCGAATTGACAAACAAATGAAACCCATAAATCTACTTTCTCATTAATTTTACCACAGAATAATTCAAAGCTGCAATATCATGAGCGAAAAAATTGGGGGGAAAAAGAAAATGGAAAATGGGCATTATCCATCATAAATATCAAGCAGATAGGAAAGAGCCTTATTAGAGAGTTGTGCAGATAACAATGTTAATCTGTGAAGCACTGAGGCGGGGACACCGTCATCAGCTGGGGTCTGGGCAACTCGGCCACGTGACTTGGCCCCGTGTTTGTTTATCTATCTATTTATTTTCACTTTGCTCTGGGGATAGCCTTGTCTGTGATGACTCAAAAAAGCTCCAAGATTTTCCACCCGTTCCATTTATACAACACGTACAGATTCAGCCGTAATTATGGGTCAAGAGTCCTGCTAAAAGGGGTGTAGTCAGTGGGGTTAAAAACATATGTATCCGTGCTCCAGACACAAATATTTCAGCATAAAACAACACACAAAAGCAGACATGAGGAAAAGAAAATCTTTCTTGCTATTAATGGAGCATGTCAGCATTTTTTCTGAACTGGAAAAAAAAGTTTCAAAAAGAATCCAAATAATGGAAATTCCCGGAGATCAAAACAAGGCAACAGCAGTTTGTATAAAAAGAACTGGCTGTACTGTTGATTATTAGATGCCTGTCTGTTCTTTTTTTTTTTTTTGTGGGGGGGGCTGCTTGCAAAATAAAACAAGTGTTTGGAACAAACACTGGATAATAAAAAAGGTCAGAGTTTCTGTTTGTTTATAGTTTGTTTTGTTTTCCCTGCCTCCAATATGGAGAGTACAGTACAAACAAGAGTCACATGTGTCTCCCACCTGACCAGACAGGTTGAAGGTTAAGAACAGCCGGTGGGCCAGAGCTCATCAGCCCTGCCTCTCCTCTGCTCCCTCCACCCTCTCACTGGAAATCTAATGCCTGTCCCCCTGTCATGCTTGCCTGGAATTCAACAGCTCAAACAAGTCAGCAGTCGATTCAAGGTAGGGTCGGCCCGCGCAGCTGTGCTTTGACCCTTCTTCGTGTTGTGTTTTTCTTTAATGCTCATGACAGTAAAGCCTCAGCGGCCACCTGCTTCGATTCGCAGAGTTCTCACACAGCCCTTGTTTACACAAGCACACAACAAAAGCACAACATTTCTTGGGCGGGAGATAAAGACACACCAAGGAGGAGACAATAGGGAGAAGTTCAATTTAGAGCTGTTTAGGTTCAGCTTGGTTGCTAGACTAGACAACACATCAGCGTCTACCAAAGGTGCAACAACAGAATGCGTCTCAAGGTTTGCCTCGTGTTCTGTAATGTATTTTGGCTCCTGATTCCAGGGGGAAGTCAGAAGACAAACACAAGCTGAATGTTGAATAATCCATTATCACAGCCCTTATCGCTGATAACAAACTACTCTGAGAATATGTCTCCTGGAAACATCCACCGGGCAACAGACATAAAAATTGGGCTAAAAAACTATAACCTTTCCACACTTGAGTCCCATAACCTTGCAAGGCAGGTGGACTCGCAAGATCACAAAATTGCGAGATCACACAACGTTCAGTCATGCCAGGCTTTAATCTATGCATTTGTGGTCAAACTATGTGGTTCCACACCATTCAGCGAACAACTACTCATAGAGTAGGTGGATAGAGGTTAACCTAGATGCTGCTAGCATCAGCTATATCAGAGAGTATTTCTTCTTTGAAAGAAGAGCAAAGAACTGCACTAAAGGCTTTTCTCGATGGAAAAGATGTTTTCGCTCTTCTTGCTTTGGTAAGAGTCTGACTAAGTTCGCCTGTGATATACGGTGATAGACAGATGGTTCATCCAGCGCTGTGGAGTATTTTTTGAAAGTGTGTGCCCTTTTCAAAACAGTTTCCAACAATGACTTCCAATGTGGTTCAGTGTAACAAACCATCTGGCGCTGTCGGATGCACACACTTGCACATATCTGCAAAAAAGGGGCCTTCTGCAAACCAAAACCACATAGATCAAAAAGCATTCTATCTGGACTCACTTGCCGTTCTGGCCGCTCTCTGCTGCTGAGAGGAACTAACGGCAGGGATGACATTCTGCCAAAGGAGACTTCACAGTCAGACCAAACAACCATGTAATCTTGTCAGCCACTTCAACCAAGTCATAGATAAGAAAAGCATATCTCCAGACTACTGTGACAATATAGTACGAACACACACCCCTCCCTCCTGCAACCAATAACTCCATCGCAAAAACCCCACATGAGACACAGAAGCATTTTCCAAGTTCTTCGCAGACCTTGTACGGGGCATAAGCAGACCACTCATGCTGGCAAACAAAGCAGCTGTTTGTTTAATAAGTGATTGCTGCCATGGCTACAGTAAACAGGGGGAGCGGGGGTTTGTGTTTATGAACAAACACATCTCCTTGCAGGAGCCATTTAATATTAACCAGGTGGAATGATCAGCCGATTTCCTAGGTGACACTCGGGGCAGGCATAGTGTAAATAGGTTCTGGGAAGGGAGAAGAGGGGGCCAGGCTTTGGGGAATCAAGGTCGATGCAAATGCAGCTTTCGGCTAGAATAAACAGCAAGGCACAAGTCAAGATAAACAAAAAGTCATTCTTCTGACATTTGAAGACGCATTAAGCTGGT